GAGCCTGTACGCGTGCGTGCGCGCTGTCGCATCTTTCCTGCCGCTTCTTTTTCTTCTCTCCCCTCACACGCTACAACGCCCCGCCACCGGCAGCAGGCGGTGGCAGTCGCACCAACACACACACGCACACACACGCACACACACAAGTAGAGCGGGCACGAGATGTCGGGTGCGCTGGAGAGCATCACGGCGGCGACGCAGCTGCGGCGGGCTGTGATGGAGGCGCAGAAGGAGCTGGACGCAAAGCGGGAGCTGTACATGGTCCGCATGGCGCGGGTGCGGGAGGTGGAGGAGGTCATCGCGGCGGACCGGGCCAGGCTGCAGGACAAGCTCGTGCGCTACTACAAGTTCATCCAGGAGAACGAGATCAAGCGCACCCGGGCGTCGCGGAAGGCCGTCACGGAGGAGCGCATCAAAAAGGAGCGGGAGGAGCAGATCGCGGAGCTCACGCAGCGGCTGGAGGACCTGAACAACCGCCGGGAGGAAATGCGGCGGCAGTACGACCTCTACGCAAAGTACCAGCAGTACCTGGAGGAGGTGTTGCAGCGCAACGACTGCGACGAGTACCAAAGCCCCCGCGACATCATTCAGCGCTGGAACACGCTGCAGGAGAACACGAAGGTTCTGCAGCGGCGCAAGACGCAGCTGGAGGAGGAGCTGCTGCGCAACAAGAACTCCCTCAACATGAAGCGGCAGAAGAAAAACAACGAGAGCGTAGATCTGCAGAATCAACTCAACGAGCTGCAGGCAACGTACGAGTCGATGCAGAAGAGCATTAAAATCAAGCAGGACGAGCTCGAGCGGTGCATCAGCCAGAGGAGCACAACCTCCCGCACGGTGAGCCACGTGCGAATGGCGTGCAAAAACCTCTACGACCGCTGCATCGCGTGGACGGCGCCGTACTCAGGACGCGGGAAGTTTGAGGCGCGCGAGGCGGACGTGCTCTACCAGCTTCACGTGATTGGCGACTGTCTGCGGGACTTTCAGGACGTCATCGCGGCGCACCAGCAGCGGCGGCAGCAGCAGCAGCAGCAGCTCTTGCTGCAGGTGGCGGAGAGCCACGCGGCGAAGGAGGAGGGGGAGGAGTGAGGGCGTGCCGCGAGGGCGGCGATGTAAAATTGCTGTGGACATTATTTCTTCCTACCGTACGCGCCTTTTTTTTTTTGCTTTTGCCCCGCACCCTCTCGGCGTCGCCGCGCGCACAGACATGTCCGTGCGTGTTCCTTCCCATGACTTGCCGCTGCATCTTCTCTCTCTCTCTCTTTTTCTCCTTCCGCCGCTCGCCGTGCCGCGCCCCCCCCACCGCCGCGGCGGCGCAGCCAAAAGGGCCCTCACAACGCGGCGAGGCGGCGGGCGGGCGCCTGGCGAGGACGAGAGGGGGGCGGTGAAGTCGGCCTGCTGCAGCTGCCGCGGCCCACGCCGATGCCATTTAGGCCCAGCTGCATCATCTGCTGCTCCGACTGCGACACAGATGGCCTCTTCACGAGCTGCCAGCACTTCCTCTGCGCCCGCTGCACCGCCCGCTACCCCCCAGGGCAGTGCCCCCGGTGCCGCAAGCCGTGCAAAGCCGTCAAGGCGGGCGCGGCGCTGCCGAAGGAGGTGCACGAACGCGTGGCACAAGATCCACAGCGGGTCCTGGCCATCGCCGCGCAGGCGCTCGAGTTTCAGCGGCGGCAGGAGCAACAGACGCTGCAGCGCCTGCGCGAAATTGTGACGACGCTGAATCAAAGCAACCGGAGCATGGCCTCCCAGCTCGGCGCAGCGAAGTCAGAGCGCGAAGGTCTCCTCAGCCAAATAAAGCGGCTGCAGGGTCAACTCTACGCCCAGCAGCAGCAACAACAACAACAGATGGCGCAGCGGCCAGTGGAATCACAGATGGCTGCGGATAACGGCGGTGTGGCCTACGGGGTTGGCGCACTGGGGATGTCGGCGCGTGCGCCGCCTGGTTTCCTGCAGACGGGCGTGGCGCCGAGTCCAACCAACGCGGCGGTGCGCGGCTGGCTGTCGTCCCCTGCGGCTGCCCCTCGTGCAATGACGCCGTTGGGCTGGAGCCAATCGAAGCGCCAGCGAGATGACGTCGCCCACACACCCGGAAGCAATAGTCATAATAACAACAACGACGATGTCACCGGGGCGGGTTGCGGGGAGTTGGCGCGCTTTCGCCTGGCAACGCCTGCGATCACGCTGCGCAACGCACTCCCCGGCATGCGTGATGCCACGCCGGCGCATCAAATGGACCGCGCCGCCGCCATGGCGGCGCCCAAGCAACTGAAGAGCCTTTTGTGCCGCGGGCCATAAAAGGGGAGTGCCTGGCTCTCGGGTTATGGAGTTGGTTTTTTGCTGGTCTGGCCGGCGGCGGCGACGGTGGTGGCGGCGGCTTTCTTCACACAACCCGACGAGGGGAGGAGGTGGCTGAGCGGTGAGTTTCTCTATTGACGGTAAACTGCCCCCCTCTCCCATTTCCTTTTTCCTTTTTTTTCCCCCCTCAAACCGAATTTCTTACTTGTCTTGTTTCCCATTGTTTTTTTGTCTCACCGATTTTATCTTCATGTGTGATTCCCTTTTGTGTGCCTGAACGCTTCTCCCCCTCTCCCCTTCGTCGCCCACTTTTTTTTTCCCCCCCTCCCCGTGTCGTGACTTCTGCTGCACCTTCCCGCTTTGCCTCCGCTCCTCCCTGCGTTTGCTGCTTTGCGAGGGAAGAGGCCCTCTGCGTCTTACTTTCTGGCGTCGTCGCCCACGCACAGTGCCCGGCCGACGGCGCGCCTGCCGCGATGCGGAGCGGCTTCTCGTCGTCACGGGAGGCGTCCGCCGCCGCGGCCGAGCCCCTCCTGTCGCCCTCGCCGGCTCCTGCCGAGAGGCTGCGCGGCGGGCTGCGCGACGAGGAGGAGGAGGAGGATGAGTACGCCGAGGAGGGGGGCGGTAGGTGCAGTAGTACGAGCAGCGTCGTGGACCTCGACCAGATCGCCCTGCAGATGAATGTGCGGGTGGAGGATCTTCTCCGGGCGCTGCAGGGCGGCAGCAGCAGCGGCGGCGACGGCGCCGCGTCTGAGACCCGTCCGCGGTCGCAGTGCGCCGTTGCTGGCGTCAGCGGCAACGAGGCCGCCGCCCACGGCGAGCGTGGCAGGGAGGCTGGCAGTGGCGGCAGCAGAAGCGGGGGGACTGAAGGTGGCGCCTTCGACGTGCTGCGGCGGCACTTGTCGAAGGAGACGTTGAGCAGGACGCATCTGCTGCCGTTCGCCGTGGAGGACACCGCCGCGGGTGGCCGGGAGAGGGAGCAGCAGCTGCGGGAGGAAACGGCGGCGGCGGAGGGGGAGGATGCGGCGGCGCCCATTGTGTTTCTTTCAGAGTCCAGCAACCGCGGCAGCGGCTCGCAGGCCTCTCGAATTCCCTCAGCAGAGGCCCCTGCGCGCATGGGCACGCCTAGGCCCTGCACCTCCTCGTCGTCGCCGCGGCCGCGGCGTCGCATCCGCTTTGGCAGCCGCATCGTCACCAACGTCTGCGTGTACAGCGTCGACAACGAGGTGTACTTTGGGCTGCAGTTTCGGCAGCATTGGTCGAGCTGGGTCGCCCTGCTGTGCGGCTTCTGCCTCGAGAGCGCCTTCGAGGTGCACCTCGAGTGGTTCGCCGGCGTGGGCGGCGCCACCACGCACGACACCATCCCCATTGCCCACTGGGTCTACACCTACAGGGCGCTCTTCTCGGTTGCCTACGGCGTGGCGTGGCTGATCTACAGCGCCTGGCGCGACGGCGTGGGCGGCCTCGTGACGGTCGCCGCCGAGCCACGCAGCGTGTGCTTGAAGAGCCTCGCGGCGACGCTGGTCTCCTCGCTTTGTTTCTCGCTCGCCACCGCTGTGATGGTGCTGACAAACGCGATGTCCGGCTCCTCGCTGCTCTTCACGGCCACAGTGATGCATTGCCTCTGGATCCTGCTCTACCGCGTCTCCCGGGCGCAGATTGTGTTTTTGGTGGAGACGTGCGGGTCGTTTATGCTCATGATCGGCAACGTGTTGTGCAACATTGACGGCATGCGGCTGATGGGGCTCCGCGAGGCGGTTTACGGGAACCTCCTCATGAGCGGGGGCAGCCTCCTCTTTGCCACCGCCTTCCTGCTCATGGCGTACGGCCTGCAGCGGGGCCTGTGTGGGACGGTGGGCCTCACCGTCGCGGTGGGGACCGAACTTTTTCTCGTCACGCTTCTCATGGGTGTGTCGCGCGGCTACGCGCTCTCGTCTGACGCCGGCGACAGCCTCGTTGCCGGGTTTAGGCGGGCCAACGTGATGCACTGCTGCCTGCTGTCCGTGGAGGACCTGGTCTTCTGTCTCATGTATCTCTACGCCCTGTACCACCTGGACGTGCTCTCCGTCTCCGCCTGCTTCTCCCTGAAGGTCGCCGTCGTGCCGGTGGTGGCGCATTTTGTCGTCTGGAGGCACACGGAGCACGTGCCGCCCGTCGTGCAGGCGCGCTGGGGGCCGCTGCTGTTTGTGGGCGTCGCGGTAGTGGCGGTGGCTGCCGCGATTGTCATGTTTTTTGCATCGGTGCGGCGTCGCTTCGTGGCGCGGCGGCTGTTCCACATGCGTGGGCTGCGCAGGGTGCCGGACCCGTACCGGAAGAAGCAGAGGCGTAGACGACGCGATCGATTGCGTTCCGTCCCATTGTACTTCGAGCTGTTTAATCAAAGCCAACGGGCACGCGAGCCACTGCCGCCGGGCGAGTGATACCGCCGCGCGGGAGGGAGGAAGGAAAAGTAAAAGGAAGGGAGGGGGAATTGAAGCGGGCGCCTCCTGAGTGCCGCCTGCTTGTTTTTTTCCCTTTTACGACTATTCCTTTTTTTTTTTCTTCTTTTTTTTGGCGGCCCCCGTTGTTGCTGCTGTTGCGTTCCGCCTCCCCGTTTATTTTCCTCTTATTTTCCCTCTGGAGCCTCCTTTTTCGTCGCCCGCCTCGTTTCTGTCGCGCCGGGCCGAGAGGGGACTGCCGCTGCTGTGGAGGGATGTATGGCGCGTGTTTTTCTCCTTCTGCGCGCGTGTGTGTGTGTGTGTGGCTTGCGGTGTGCGGGGCAGGCACATTGGGGGTTTGCCTGCGGCGCTGCTTCTGCGCCTTTTCGCCCCGCGTCACTTCTCCCCTCGTTTTACTTTTACTTTTTTTTTTTTTTGCTCCGTGGCCGCGACCCCGCCGCTGCACCGGCGCGTGTGGGGGTGCGTGTGTGGCACGGGCAGAAGTGTCGCGGTGACGATGAGCGCCAACGCCGCCGCGGACCTCCGGGAGGCGCTGCTGCAGGCCGCGGAGAGCCGCGCCCTGGCGCTCGGTGGCTTCTACACGGACGTGCCGCTTGGCGAGGAGGCACTGCGCGGCGCGGAGCGCGAGGTGCGCCTGGCGCGAGCGTGGGAGCAGCGGCGCGTGCAGAGTGCCCTGCGGCGGGCGGAGCTCAACGCGCAGCGGCAGCGGCTGCTGGAGGCGGGGCGGGGCGGGGCGTCGTTGTCGTCGGCGGTGGAGGCGGTGGGGGCCCTCGCGCGCGAGCTGCGGGCGCAGGCGATGGCGGCGCTGCAGCTGCACGCGGAGGCGGTCACCACGCAGGCGCTGCAGACGCGTTCGTCGTCCCTCCGCGTGCCCGACGGCGTGTCGAGGGCGCTGGAAGTGTCGGCCGCCTCCGCAGCGGCGTCGGTGCCCCGCGTCGTCCTTGACGTTGACGTGGGCGGCGGCCGCGTGGACAGTTTGGTGCTGCGCGACGGGGACGACGTGGACGAAGTGGCGGCGGCGTTTCTGCGTCGCCACGGACTGCCGCAGCACGGCGTTGACCTCCTCGCGGCGCAGGCGCTAGCAGCGCTGGGAGACGAGCGGCGTTGAGCCGGAGGCCGGCGCTCCGGGCGGTATCGTATCAAAGTACTTCCCCCTCTCTCTCTCTCTCTCTCTCTTGTCTTTTGTTTTTCT